TCAAACTTTTCTAGCTAATGAAAAACTTTTGTTAAAAAATAAATAAAAATTAGTATAGTTAAATATATAGCAATCATAATAACATAATTATTGTTAAAATTTAAAATTATTATAAAAAAAAATAAAGAAAAAAATTATAACTAATAAAAGAAATATTTATTTATTTATTAATTAGTAATCGGGTTCGGACTCATTTTAATAGGAATGGAACGGGAAGGAACTCTGAATGAACTGGTTAAATTAACATTACTACGTTACACACTAGAAACTAGAATTGAAAAAAAGAAAAAAAAAAAGAAAAGAAAACAATGCAATGGGGCCAAAAGCAAATTGGGCCACAACTCAACACAGTCTTTCTCCCCAAAAATCTCACAATAATCTGGTGGACATACATGGTTAATACATGGAGTGAGAATTCAGAGGAAGTGAGTCTCGTTCGAATGAAGTGTTAAGAAGAACAGTGAATGCAGTGGTGAAGCTGGATAAGAGGAAGAAAATTATGGAGTGAGAATTCAGAGGAAGTTTAATAGCAACATTGAATGGAGTGTAACTAGATATGTGCATAAGAGCTTTAAAAACACTCACAACTTATCCAATATCACTTCATGTTAAATTAATCCATGTTTTTGCCTTTCTTTCTATCCTCTACTGTTGTTGAGGATCAGTTTTCATCCATTAGATTAGTATTCACATCAGAGGTGGTGTGTTCTAGTATTGATACAGACATACTCCTTTCTGCATATTTAAGTTAAATCCGTGTGTATTAGTTCAACCAGTTATGACTCAATTAACTTGGAGTAAAATTGATGTTTACTTTGCCCAAATTAAGGAAGAGTGCCGATTCAATATTTCGATTAGAGCTGAATTTCACAATGGGATAGACCTATCAGGTTGCGCAATTAGGGCTTAATAACTTGATAACTTTAATACTTTTTAATTCTTAAAAATTTGAACACTTAAAAATATCCCACAATGATAAAATATATTATTACATATATCTTAATAATAGACTTCTTTGCTTCTCATGATTGCCGAACTCAGTAGCGTGGGCTTGTGACCAAGCGGGGCATAGATGAATGACCACCACCTGGTGTGCCAATTGGGATGACTTGATCCCACACACAACCACTTTTTAAATATATAATATTTTAGGTTTTTCTTAATTTTTTTAGATTTGATAAATAAATTACATAAAATGGAAGCATGTTTAAATTACATATATACACATATGTATATATATATTTATATATAAAATTATATGTGAAACGCTTAAATAATTTTTAATTTACTTTCAAAACAACAATGTATTCAAACTATAAAATTAGAATTGCAATTCAATTAGGCTTGAATTTCAAAGCTTATCCAAACAATGAAATTAGGATTGGATTGGTGGAATTACAATACTACAAAATTGAAATTCCAATGCAATCCCAATTTAATTCTAGTTCAGCATAATCAAACATAGCATTAAGGTTAGACTGTTTGATATTTGGGTTTAGTTTCAATGGTACTTCAAATAGAAATTCTTTGATGAAGGGATTTCATTCTTGAGATGAAATTTGATGGACCTTTTATAGCGAATTGCTAAGGCACGCTTGGCATGATGTGTTATGATATAATTTTTTTGATATTGATATTTAAATTTGGACCTATATCATATTTGGGATGGTAACATTAATTTAGAATAGTTCATAACATATCAGATTTTTTTTTCAAGTTCATATCACCAAATTAGTGATATCGTGTATTTTGATATTAATGCAAATGAACTAAAGCAAATGAACTAAAACAAAATTTTAAATTTTTTAAAACAAATTTTCGTTACCATTCTAATTTTTATCCAAAAAAGACTCAGGCAATGTTTTATTATTTTGTTATCAATATCAAAAACATAAGGCTATAACTATTATTCATTGAGCAAAACTAGCTTTTTTTATGAATGCCTGGTAAGGCAATAACTATTATTATTTTGTTACTTTATGAAGTGCTTTTCTTCAAAGGTTTATAAAAAGAAGATTGTCTCAATTGAGGACCACAACGGAGGGGTCTTGCAGGACATACCCACAGATTTGGAAATCCAGTAAAGCATTCTATCCATCAATCCTTATAAAAGTCTTGGTCCTGATGGCTTTAACTCAGGTTTTTTCTCTCATGCTTGGCCTATCATTGGCCAAGAAATCACAGCTGCAATCAAGGATTTTTTTATCTAAGAAAGAATGCTTGCTGAAATCAATTGCTCTTGCATTGCACTTGTCCCCAAAGTCTCTAATCCAACCACTGTCAATGACTATAGGCCAATATCCTGTTGCAACCTAATCTACAAAGCTATTTCTAAACTCATTGCCAACAAACTAAGCCTTGTCTTACCTTCAATCATAAGCACTATACAAACTGCTTTTGTTAAAAAAAGACACATCACATATAACATCCTTCTTGCTCATGAATTGCTAAATGGTTATCATAAATTATCACACCCTCCTTCTTGTACCCTCAAAATTGATCTTAGAAAGGCATTTGACACCATCCATTGGCAATTTATACTGGATACTATGCAACTCTATGGTTTCCCACAACAATTTATCCACTGGATTTCACAATGTATAACCACACCTTCATATACCATCTCACTTAATGGACAGCTATGTTTTCAAAGTACAAATTCTCAACTAATTCTTATATTTTTATTACCAATTATAGTGCATAGCAAAATGAAATATTTATATTGGACAAACTTTTATTTTATTTTCAATTAGGAAAATATTGAATAGTGATACACACACCTGTAATGAATTCCCTAACCCTCACTTCCTTATTTGTTTCTCTGCAATTATTTAGTGTAAGAATCATTTTTAAAAAATTAAAGATACGCATTACCTATTTTTTTTTTAAGAGTTAAACCAATTTTTTCTTTCTTTTTTGCTTTCCTTATTAATTTTACCTCTCTTTCCCTCAACAAAGCAAATCTATCTTTTCCTCTCTCATCACAAACATAGTTATACAAATACTACGGTCAATTATTAAGTAATTGTTTAGCCACTACAAAATAAACTTGGACCTTATTCCTTTTAAATTAAAAAACAAAATAGGATTGAATCTAAAGTATCACCTCAATTAGTAACCATCTCTCTTTTTTAAAAGATACAGAGTTGATCAAAACTTTTATTAGTTAAACAAAGCAAAGAGGCTTTCTTACTGATTTTCATTGAATAATCATATATCATAACAGAAACTTTGCTATAAAAAAAAAATTTGAAAAAGAATAAACAAAAGATCATTATGCTTACAACAATATTAGGGCTAAAAAATGATTGTTTTGCTGTGGAGAGAGAGGGGAAGTGAGGTAAATGATAAAATAGAACAACGGTTGAGAAAAGAATAAAAAAGGAAGGGAAAAAAAAAAATTGGTTTAACGTGTAGAAAGTATCGATGTTCTTACTTTCTTCTGCAATTTTTCTGTCCTTCCCACCTCACTTTATCTTCTCCAAATTTTTATTTATTTTTCTTTTTCTCCCAGCACCAACTCTTACGTGTATTGCATTACAGAACTTCCACAAAAGAAAAAGAAAGTTAAATGCAGAAAATATCTCATGGCAAAATAAAAATTACGTAATAGGTTGCAAAATAAAAATTACGTAATAGGTTAAAAAATAAACTAAAAGACAAGAAACTAAAAGCACAACAGTACACAGTATGATTTAACAATGTTTGTTTGCAACTTTCATCATGCCCAAAATATGTTTTCTTATTTGTAAATTTACATATAACATATATATATACATCTATGTATCAAGAAACGAAATGGGGAAATTTGTGCAGAATGTGCAGTGCACACAACTTGTTCGATCAAATGCAGCAAAAAAGGACATTGTGACATGGACGTCCTTAATTTCATCATACTCATCACGGGTCCTCTAGAAATTGCTTGAAGAAGATGCTTGAATGAGGTGAGACCAAACCAGTACTATCTATTGTGGTTCGAGATTATACACATATTGCGTTTGTTGAATTTGGTTTGCAATTCCATGGTCTGATTGTTAATTTTGGGCTTGAGAGAAAATGAATTTTCTGGTTGATTTTAATTTAGACATCTATATGCATTTCAAATCTGCAAATATAAGTGAGCCTATTTGTATATCTAACTACATTTATGTTAAATGTATGAATCTCTCTCTCTCTCTCTCTATATATATCTCTCTCTCTCATGCGCGTGTCTAAAGAGGGGAGAGAGAGAAACTTAGAGCAACTCCAATGTTGTGCTAAATGGGTTGTTAATTTCAAAATATAGCAAGTGGACTTAAAATGGGCTCTCCAATGGGCTGCCAAAATAGAACTTTGCCAAATCTAGTAACAAATGTAGCACAACCAATAGCAACTGCTATTTTTCTAGGGCTCCAGAAAGAAAAGAGAACGACGACAGAAAGAAAGAGAAGAGAACGGCGACAGAAAGAGAACAACATTTGTTGTATTTTCTCTTCTCATATCTGTACTTTCTCTTCCCTTCTCATCCTCATATGTGCGTGTGTATATATATATCTTCTCAGATCCTAGAAGAATTTATAAATAAAACACACACACCCCAAAGATAAGAACATAAAAACAGATATAACTGTAATAAAAACTAAAATTAAATATCAATGGATCAATTTAAACTCAGATCATAAAAATTACAATTTCTCTGCCATTTATCAATACTCAATTGAATAAAGAAAATACAATTGATAAGAAACAAAACCCATAGGAATCAAATTGATGGTGATGGGGCCTGATTCCTAATAATAGGAGGCTGTAATTGATGGTGATGGGCCTTTCCCTCTTTTGCAGCGTTGGGACCATTTTTCTTGGGATAACTTTGCCACGATTCCTCAATCTTCTCTCTCCTAAAAACACAAAAGAAATTAAAATAGTTATCATAGTAAAAAAATAGTATTTTGGATAAAATGTACGAACAGAATTGTTAAAATATAACATTTTAATATTACAACATCTCTCATAATATAACTTTGGCATGTAAATATAACTTTTTGCATTGAAAATAGTGCTTTCTAACAAATGTTGGACAAAGAAGTAACTTCTTATAAAAAATAAAAAAAATAAAAAAAAACTTTTTAATTTTACAATATTATTAACTTTTCGTACTCACAGGGAGAGGAGGATTTGTCCAAACCTCAACGAGGTCGGACTAGCTACCCTTAAAATTTGTAAGACTGCATCACAAGAAAATTTTGGTTGAATAGGATCATCCTCATCGATCATTATATATATATACACTCTTTGTCCAGTTGCTATTATAATCCATACGCGTGGGTATAGAATCTCTCACGTACAATCCATTATTTCACTGTGAAGACTAAGTTCACAAGTAACACCAGACCTTTTGTTTTTTTTTTTTTCCTTGTGTGTAGTCATTTTCACAAAAGTCACACCAACGTCAGCTTTATGATACACACTTTTTACCATTTTGTCTTTTTCACCAATCATCTTGAGACTCTTAACCGATGAATTTTACAGTTTTACCCAACTCTACATCTTAATCATTGCTTATATAAACCCCACATCCATGACTGAAAATACTGTCCAAATTCCTAAATCAACAACTATGGCAGCTTCTAACTTGGGAGGACATCTGGTTCTCTTCTTCTTGCTCATCCTTTCACTTTTCGCCACTCATGAATGTGAGTATGCCATTTGTGTATTAGGTTAATTACTAAACTTATAATTTAGTATATGTTGTACGCTAATATAATAGTTCTATGATCAAACAACTGCATCTAAATTTTAGCAACTATAAAGATCTGCATCAAAGAAATTGAACGAAATGGATAGTCTGTAGCTTTAAAATCTGTCGATTTCTTACATCTTTACTTCATATATATATATATGTATATACGGTGGCATACAATTAGGTGGTGGCAGTAGCAGAGCCGGAGATGTGCAGCAGCTTAAGGTGTCTATGGGGGCGAAAGATAATATAAGAATGATTTATGATGTCTGCCAACAACAAGAAAGTTATGGCGGTGGAGAATGCTGGTATTGTCCCAAAGATGGTAACTGTTGGTGGGAAGAGTCGGATTGTCTGGAGAACTGTACTCCATAACCACACCCCTCTTCTAACAATCATATGCAAGCAATCATTACCATGGTTGTCAATGTTGATCGTCTTCTTTCAACATTATGCTATGCAATCTATCTTATCTTATTGTCAGAAATAAAAATTAGTCTTTCTTATATCTGGGGCTTCATGCATATATGTCATTCCAACATGGGTTAAGTGCAAAAAAAAAAAAAAAAAAAAAAAAAAAAAAAAAAAAAAAAAATCATCCGTCACCATACAATGTTCAATTTTATTTTATTTTTTCACCAAACAAACCATCAACAAATTAAGAAAAATAGGTGGTACATTCAGGGAGTAGAGCATTATACGGGATTATCATATTTTCAACTCAAAATTATTCGATTAGACAATTTACTGTTTAAATTTAGGTTTGGAAAACACAATGCTATATATCTGAGTGTTTCAACTGTTAAAAACAAATTCTCAACTAATTCTTATATTTTAATTACCAATTGTAGTGCATAGCAAAATGAAATATTTATATTGGACAAACTTTTATTTTATTTTTTGTTAGAAAAATATAGAATAGTGATACTCACTTGTTTAACCCCTATTTCCTTATTTGTTTCTTTGCAACTATTCAAATCATTTTTCAAAAATTAAATATAGCATTACCTATATTTTAAGAGTTAAACCAATTTATTTTTTCTTTTATTCTTTCTTTTTTGCTTTGCTTATTAATTTTACCTCTCTTTCCCTCAACAAAGCAAATCTATCTTTTCCTCTCTCATCACAATCATAATTATACAAATATTATAGTAAGATAGTAAGCAATTGTTTAGCTAGCCAGTACGGACCTTATTCCTTGCAAAAAAATTAGAAACGGACCTTATTCCTTGCAAAATTAGAAACAAAATCTGAAATGTCTCCTCAATTAGTAACGGTCTATTTTTTTTTTTAAAGATGTAGAGTTGATCAAAACTTTCATTATTTAAACAAAGCAAAAGTCTTTCTTATTGATTTTCATTGAATAATCAAATATCATAACAGAAAATTTGATATAAAAAAAAAAAATTGAAAAAGAATAAACAAAAGATAATTATACTACAACAATATTAGGGCTAAAAAATGCTAAAAAATGATTCGTTTTGAAGTGGAGAGAGAGGGGAAGTGAGGTAGATGATATAAAAAAACAAAACAACCGTTAAGAAAAGAATAAAAAAAAGAAGTAAAAAAAAAAAAAATGGTTTAACGTGTAGAAGGTATCTATTCTTTACTTTCTTCTGCAATTTCTCTCTCCTTCCCATCTCACTTTATCTTCTCCAAATTTTTATTTTCTAATTCTTTTTCTACCAGCACCAACTCTTACATCTATTGCATTACAGAACTTCTACAAAAGAAAAAGAAAGTTAAATGCAGAAAATATCTCATGGCAAAATAAAAATTACGTAATAGGTTAAAAAATAAACTAAAAGACAAGAAACTAAAAGCACAACAGTACACAGTACGAATTAACAATGTTTGTTTCCAACTTTCATCATGCCCAAAATATGTATTCTTATTTGTAAATTTACATATATCATATATATACATCTATGTATCAAGAAACAAAATGGGGAAATATGTGCAGTGCACACAACTTGTTCGATCAAATGCAGCAAAAAAGGACATTGTGACATGGACGTCCTTAATTTCATCATACTCATCACGGGTCCTCTAGAAATTGCTTGAAGAAGATGCTTGAATGAGGTGAGACCAAACCAGTACTATCTATTGCGGTTCGTGATTATACACATATTTTTCTGTTATCAGAAGCCTCTTGTTCAATTTTTCTGTAAACCACCACAAGTTTAGACCGACCGGAAATTGAGGGTGGACTGGTAATTGCAAACATTGGTACATGGAATAGAGCTGCAGCCTGCAGGATGTCAGAAAAACCCAGTTGCCACCATCATGCTCTTATCGGACGATCAGGATGGAAGAGTCCCACCCAAGTTAAAATTATTTTCATGTTTACAAAAAAACTCCCCAGCATTTTTTAAAATGTGCCAAAAAAACCCCTGTGGGCATTTTGGGTAGTGCGAAAAGTAATTTTGATATTAAAGGCGACTTTTGGTTGCATGTTAATTTTTTTTGGTCAGAAGCCCTTATTGAAACTAAGGGTTTGAATAGAGATATTATTTGCATATTTTTAAAATTATTCGGATATTTTTTACACTTACCCGTATCTAAATACATTTACGATAAAAACGTATGTATACTCTCACACACACTTACATGCGTCTATAAAGAGGAGAGAAAGAGAGGTGTTTTTTAACAAATGTGAGACAAAGAAGTAATTTATCATAAAAGAATTTTTTAATTTTACGGTATTATTAATTTTTCATACTCAAAATAGAGAGGATTTATCCACACCTCAACCAGGTCGGACTACCCTTAAAATTTTTAAGACTAGATCACAAGAAAATTTTGGTTGAATAGGATCCTCATCGATCATTTTATATGACACACACACACATACACTCTTTGTCCAGTTGCTATTATAAACCATACGCGTGGGTATAGAATCTCAGACACCAGACCTTTTTTTTCTTGTGTGTGTAGTCTTTTTCACAAAAGTCACACCAACGTCGGCTTTATGACACACGCTTTTTACCATTTTGTCTTTTTCACCAATCATCTTGAGACTCTTAACCGATGAATTTTACAGTTTTACATTGCTTATATAAACCCACATACATGACTGAAAATACTGTCCAAATTCCTAAATCATCAACTATGGCAGCTTCTAACTTGGGAGGACACCTGGTTGTCTTCTTTTTGCTCATCCTTTCACTTTTCGCCATTCATGAATGTGAGTATGCCATTTGTGTATTAGGTTAATTACTAAACTAATAATTTAGTATATGTTGTATTCTAATATAGTAGTATATTACTATTGCTATGATCAAACAACTGCATGTAAATTTTAGCAACTATAAAGATCTGCATCAAAGAAATTGAACGAAATGGAAAGTCTGTAGCTTTTTGTCGATTTCTTATATCTTTGCTTTTATATATATATATACATATACGGTGGCATACAATTAGGTGGCGGCAGTAGCAGAACCGGAGATGTGCAGCTTAAGGTTTATGGGGCAAAAGATAATATAAGAATGATTTGTGATGTACGCGAAGAACAAGAAAGTTATGGCGGTGGAGAATGCTGGTATTGTCCCAAAGATGGTAACTGTTGGTGGGAAGAGTCGGATTGTCTGGCGAACTGTACTCCATAACCATAACCCTCTTCTAACAATCATATGCAAGCAACCATTATAATGGTTGTCAATGTTGATCATCTACTTTCAACACTAAGCTCTCATTTGCACTGTTTTTGTACTATGGGGGCTAATCTTTCGAACTACATTGGTGTTATATGCACTGTATTGAATATCGGGGGTGTGTTTTTTACACTTTGCCCCTTAAAATCATATGAAAATTGTTCAGAATAGAATCTAATCCAATAGTAGTAACCTTTCAGTCCATGTTTGCATTTGATAAGACTGTGAACTCAGGAATAATTTTCTTAGTGTGTGTCTATATATATATTACTTTTTAAATGTAGGATAACCATTGTATATATAAATTGAAGTTTGATTATTTTTTTCAAATTACTCAGTGTGTACATGATTTTAGCATTGTATACTTTCACAGGCTGAAAACTTCATTATCAATATTAAAATCAATTTATATATCAAAATCACACCGTAGAAACCCTAAATGAACTCATTGACCAAATCAAAATCAGACTCAGTGAAGTCAAATTCTAGAATATCGCTAAAAGAATCAACAGATGTACTCCTCAAGCTCATTCAATCCTAATTCATCAACCCCTGCGTCCCACCAATCACTTTTTTTTCATCTTCTCCAAGAAACCATTAGACTGTTTGTCTTCTCTATTTTCTTAAAACCACGTCTATAATACATATAGACAAAGTATAGAAAGAAAGAAGAGAGGTCTTCCATCTATGTATAATGGTAGTATGAAAAGTAAAAATAAATCAACTCCACTTGTAACTAAAAAAAAAAAAAAAAAACTCTAGTTATAACTGGGATAAAAAAAAAAAAAAATACTCCAGTCGTAACTAGGATTAAAAAAAATACATCACTTATAACTAGGATTTAAAAAAAAAAAAAAAATACTCCACTTGTAACTAGGATAAAAAAAAATTACTCCTACAACTTCAAGGAAAGATTGGGGATGGGGGGCTGATTGGGAATCCATTGATCATCTGTTCTTTTAACGTGAATAGTCCCCATACATTTGGAAATTTATACGGGAGGTGGCAGGGTTTTACACTATGCCAAACAGCTGGACGCAACTGATACAATGGTGCTCCACACATTGTGATCATCTGTTCTTTTAATGTGAATACTCCCCATACATTTGGAAATTTATACGGGAGGTGGCAGGGTTTTACACTATGCCAAACAGCTGGACGCAACTGATACAATGGTGCTCCACACATTGTGATCATCTGTTCTTTTAATGTGAATACTCCCCATACATTTGGAAATTTATACGGGAGGTGGCAGGGTTTTACACTATGCCAAACAGCTGGACGCAACTGATACAATGGTGCTCCACACATTGTGATCATCTGTTCTTTTAATGTGAATACTCCCCATACATTTGGAAATTTATACGGGAGGTGGCAGGGTTTTACACTATGCCAAACAGCTGGACGCAACTGATACAATGGTGCTCCACACATTGTGATCATCTGTTCTTTTAATGTGAATACTCCCCATACATTTGGAAATTTATACGGGAGGTGGCAGGGTTTTACACTATGCCAAACAGCTGGACGCAACTGATACAATGGTGCTCCACACATTGTGATCATCTGTTCTTTTAATGTGAATACTCCCCATACATTTGGAAATTTATACGGGAGGTGGCAGGGTTTTACACTATGCCAAACAGCTGTACGCAACTGATACAATGGTGCTCCACACATTGTGTTCATCTGTTTTTAGTTCACAAACTCCTATGGGCTGCAGCTGTGTACTTCATTTGGATGGAAAGGAATGTTAGAGCTTTTAGAAACTAACAGCATCATAACACAGATCAGGAACTGTGTTAGAGCCAGACTTGCAACAATCAAGCTAAGAAATTATTCTAACATATATGCGATAATGCGGCAAATTTCTTCCTACACACAGCTGCAAAATCTCTTCCAGCAGGCATGTTCCACAGCCTGTGGGCACAACTGGTTACTATCATGATTCTGTGACATGACCTACAACTTCAAGGATGATTGGTACCATGATTGAGACTATAATAGAGACAATTCTGGCAAAGTGAATGTTAGTTTTCTATGCTACTAGCAGTTGGAGGCTTTTGTTAATCTTCACATATACAAGCTTATCCATTAACTAAAAAAATGGAATTATCTCTTTTTTTTTTTTATCCTAACCCGAAAAATAATTAACTAGTCACACAGTAAGCATTGCAATTATATCAAATAGTCAATTGAATTTTCTGGTCCCATTTTCACTAAATTGTTAAAGTTATTTTGGGTTATGGTAAAGTGCGAAAAATACAAGGTCTGGTGTTTTCTTTCACCTCAGTTGATCCTGTATGATTTTGTTCAATGCTTAAGCACTGTTCAATGTCTAAACTTTAATTAAATAAAATTAAGCTAACAATATTCAATTATAAAAATAATAAACGGACATAAAAGTATCAATTAAAAATAAATTTAGAGAGGTATATGCACCGACTCTTGAAACCAAACACATCCATCCGTGTGTGCTTTATTAGAACAAAAATAATCGAGTGAATTAAGAAGAATACTAACTTTTATTTCTCAAAATAAAATAAGAGAGTATTTTGCAAATCTCAACAGATATTCACGCGAATTAACAAAGCTCGTAAGTCTGGTGTCTCACATGGCCACAACCAGATACTTGTAAACAGTATAATTTATTTTGTGATAAATCATATGACTCCCCTGTCGAGATAGCATCTCGACCCACCATCATCGCTCCTCGGCCAATTTCAATATCAACAACCATTGAATTATTTTCTGTTTGAAAATCAAAGTGGAACAATTTTATTTATTACTTTCAGTAATTAAATCTGGTTAAAAGTGGAATAATCTCAAAAGTAGATAATTAAATTATACCTGATTAGGTAGGTTTTGGGTCACAAGAGAAGACCTCAACATCTCCTCGAAATCCCCTGAAAACCCTAGTTTGAAAAGTTTTAGAGTGATCATCATCATCATCACCATCCTTGGCCTCAAAAGTAATGTAGAAGATGTAACCAGCAACACCTACAAGGTTAGCCTTCTCAACGTGATCAAACTTGTATTTTGTACCCTACAAAACAAACAAGCAAAAAAAAATATGCACATATTCAGGAAAAGACGAGAGATTAAAAAAATTTTAATTTTTCAGATACGTACGTTATTGACATTGTATTCCTCAATTGCTAAACATGAGAGGTCTCTGGTAATCTCGAACATCTCAAGGTCGTTATTGAGATCTGTAATTGGCATAATTCGACCAAAATCTTCGCTAGGGGGAAAGTCTGGAACATCAAACCCCTATAAATTTTACCAAATTAATTAGCCCCAACAAAAACATATATATATATATATATATATATACACACACTATTGTATTAGGGAGGGAGGGAGAGCATTGGAGAAGAAAAGAGACACGTACTTGGCTGTCGCGAACCATTTGATAGTAGATGGTTAACTGGTCATGGGTCAAGCAGCCATCATCATCATCATCATCATCAAACCACTGATTTTTCTCCTTCTCGTTGCTAGGGTTTACATCTACTTCCGATCTCTTTTCTCGTGTTTCAGAATCAGAAGAACAGACTTGAGAAGCAAACTTCTCGTCGTTAGGGATTACATCTACTTCCGATCTCTTTTCTCGTGTTTCAGAATCACAAGAACAGACTTGAGAAGCAAACTCATCAGCCATAACCAGAGATTATTACGGAATAATAAATTGTAAAACAGACAAAACCCTAAGAAGAGATTCAATGAGATTGTTCAAAGGATGCAATTGGATGGAACTATACATATAACTCTGTGTGTGTGTGTATCTGACGAAAAAACACCCCCAAATATTAGAAGGGAATAGGGATTCAGTTTCCTTGTGGAAGAGGGTTAAACCGTTCTCTCTCTCTCTTTTTTTTTTTTTTTTTTTTTTGTGGCTTTCCTTTCTTTTTTTACTCAACAAAGTAAATCTATTTCTTTCTCTCCCATCACAAATATAATTACAAAAATATCATAGTTAGTTATCAAGCAATTGTCTAGCCACTACAATAAACTTGAGCCTTATTCCTTGGAAAGAAGTGTACTGATCAAAACTTTTATTATTAACAGGGCGAATGTCAAAAAATCCTTCTTGACTTTTACCCGTTTACCAAAAATACTTCTTATGACAAAAAATTCACTTCAACTATCTTGAAGGGGTGATTTTAACCGATGTCCGTTTAAATAATTTGCTGAGTCATTTTTTTGAACAAAATTGCCCCTTAACAGTAAAAGGACTTTTTTTTTTATTATTTACTCTCGCCACGTCAGCAAATTCTTCATATTGTTTAATTCATATAATAGTGTTTTAATATTGTAATTGAATTATATATTTTTATGCAGATGGGTCTGTTGAATTTAAAGAGTATTTTAATATTATAATTGAATCATATATACTATAATACTATATACGTGTGTGAAAAATCAAATTTATTTTATTTACTTTTATCCAATCAGTATGAAATCATATTATAAGTCAAATTTACTTTATTTTATTTTTTATCCTATCATGTACATATGATAATTTTTCCCTAATATCATCTTAAATTAATATGAAACCATATTATATGTTTATGTATAGAAGAGTATTTTATACGAGCTTGCATAAAAGTTAAATAATTATAGTAATCCCACTAAAAGTAATGATTGTGTTGTCTTCTTCTCAAAAGGGACAACCACAACCACTAAAAAAAAAAAAAAAAAAAAAGAACTTAAAAATTTAGGGTTTAAAACCCCAAACTATAAATCTTCGTATTTCAGTCCAAACTTGTATGCGTTCGATTTTTCATGAGCAACATTATCTTTCCCATGAAAGAGCATATTAAATTTCCCATGAAAGGGGATACTCCGTATTATTACCTTTCCCATAGATATAGATATATGTGTGTAATTATAAGTGTACATATGATAGTTTTATATAAATGTGTATGTGTGTTGACTTTGTTTAAGTGTACATGCTCGTATATCACAGTGTATATATAGTTATGTACAAATAATTTTATATATATATATATATGTACACTACTTAAATAATTTTTAATTTAATTTCAAAACAACAATTTATCCAAACAATAAAATTAGAATTGCAAAGCTTGAATTCCAAAGCTTATCCAAACAAAGAAATTAGGATTGGAATGGTGGGTTTGCAATACCATGAAATTGAAATTCCAATGCAATCCCAATTCAATTCTAACTTGGCGCAACCAAACATAATCTGATAGAATTTCATTATCTGAATCCCAATTTTGTGCTTTGTAAACACAAGCTGAAGGTCCAATTATGATTAAAGTACTATCCAACTCTACAGCTTAAGCATTGTTTATATAAAATTAACACATCCATGACTAAAAATACTATCCAACTTGGGAAATCTGCTTCTCTTCTTCTTGCTCATCCTTTTACTTTTCACCACTCATGAATGTGAGTATGCCATTTGTATAGGTTAATTACTAAACTTATAATTTAGTATATGTTGTATGCCAATATAATTGTACATTACTATTGCTGTGATCAAACAACTGCCTGTGGATCTGCAACATAATAGTGTGTGTGTATATATATATATATATATATATCTATCTAAGTTAGTCTATTTTATACATAGACCACAACTCTATTATTTATTAGTCTCTTCCTATAGTACGTGTCTAAGTGACTACACTTAAATTTTTATACCTATTACCACCATTAATAATTCCATTTTCAGTGTATAATCCTGTTCTAACTTTTGATGTGTGGGGTCACGCACTTGCAATAACTAGTGCATATGAACCGTTTAATTTCTAGATGATGGCCAAAATCAAAATTATGTTCTACTTATTGTATAACTCACTATAGTCACGTCAAAGAATTTGAACAAAATGAAAAGTCGAAAACTCTCAATGAATACACTCAATGTTCCTACATCACTCCTAGTTTTTTTTTTTTTTTTTTTTTTTCTTTTTCTTTTTTTTTTCGTTAAAGGTAAGCTTATATAAAAAGTCGAAAAAATTTACAGTGAAACCCAAATGGGGAAGATACAGCAAAGACCAACACCAAAGAGGAAACAACCAATACAAATATTGATTTGCTACAAGCAAAATATTCAAAAGCTATACTAGCCAATTAAACTACAACCTTGTCAGCAGCAATAACAGCAGCAACTAATGAATACCATGTCCTCACGGCAGCATTCCAATAACCTTCTCAGCAACATAGGTCAAGGTAGGAGCAAGGCTTGCCCACAAGCCGTGGAACATCCCTGCTGAAAGAGAGTTCGTAGTTGAGAGGGAGAGTTGATCATCATCATGTCAGAGCTGAATCTTAACTTGTGCAATGATGTTGTGGTAGGGTGTTGCTTGGTTACTAAAGGCTCTAGCATTTCTTTCCATCCAAATAAAGTACACTGCAGCTGCCCACAACAGCTTATGTACTAAGCAATCTGCTGGTAACCAGTGTGTGGAGCACCATTGGATCATGTCATTCCAGCTGTTAGGCCTGATGTAGAACCCAGCCACTTCTTGAATAAACTTCCATATGTTAGAGGAGTAATCACACTTGAAGAAAATGTGGTCAATTGACTCCCAGTCAGTCTCACAGAGGTAGCACCTGTTCGTGTAGTGTTTGTATAGGACAGGTTTGGCATCAGGTGTGTAAAGTCTTCCTCTTACAGCCAGCCAAAGAATGAGACTATGCTTAGGGATGTGATGCTTAAACCATACCACTTTGTGCCAGGTAAAGATTGGTAATGATGGGCTGAAGTATTTCAATGTGCGAGAGATAGAGAAATTTCTGTTTGGACACGGTAACCATTCGACTGAATTTGGATTGGAGGGGGTGAGGGCAGTTCATGTAATTGGGAAATGAAACTTCTAGATTGGAAGAAATGGTGAAGCTGAATATATCTAAAGGATTGGGGTTTTCCTACTCTTCATTTTGTTCAAAGTCTCCACTTTTTTTTTTTTTTGACAAGCAAGAAAGTCTCCCGCTTTAAAATCCTTATCGATTCTTTTATTTATTTATTATTATTAGGTGGTGACAACAATGGCAGTAGCACAACCGGAGACGTGCAGCTTAAGATTTATGTGCCGAAAGATAATATAAAAATGATTTATGATGCATGCGAAGAACAAGAAAATTATGGCGGTAGAGAATGCTGGAATTGTCCCAAAGATAGTAACTGTAGGTGGAAAGAGTCGGATTGTCTGGCAAACTGTACTCCATAACCCTAGAAATAAGTATGATCTTCAAGCAAAGCATTACCATGTTTCTCCACTTAAGAAAAAGAAAAAAAAATAATGGATTTTTCATATAGTTCCTATAATACACCCATATAATAGAAATGTGATTTACTTCTTGTATTGATCTACTTATCAAAAAAAATACACCCATATAACAGAAGTATACAACACCTACTTTGAAAAAATATTGCACATAACAACCTTATCAACCATTGTTAGATTTTAGCCGTTGAAGTGAACATGTGCAGCTCACTTGACCAAGATTTAGCAATTAATTCCTAGGATACCTTTAAGTATGTACACATATATAAAGTGCAAAAAAACACTCAGATTTTTTTTATTTAATACAAATAACTCCCCTCGATCTATTATGATTTTGTTCATTGTTTAAAGTTCAAACAATGTTCAATGCCTAACTTTAATTATCAAATAAAACTAAGCTAACAAGCATCCAAGAAGTGTTCAATTACAATAAATAAATAAAAACCGGACATAAAAGTGTCCATTAAAAATAAATAAACAAAAGCAAATTTAGGGGGTTACATACACTATACATATAATTAAGGGGTGTTTTTCAACTCTATTAAGTAAGGGTATTTGGGTCAATTTCCTCCTCCATTGCAACGTAATAGTAAGCTCTCATTTTCACTTTTTTTATACTATGGGGGGCTGTCTTTCGAACTACAAGGGTGTTATATGCACTGTATCAAATATCAAAGGTGTTTTTTTTTTTTTGCACTTTACCCCTTAAAATCATGTGTGTTGTGACAATAATTGAGTTGAAAAGAAAATCCTATTATGACATCTGAAAAAGATTGATGAAAGGCATTTGAGTTTTTTTAAACCGAGTAAGCTATATTCCTTATCTCTCAAATATATGACTGCGCTAGGATCAACTCAGCCTCTACCTTCTACAGAGTTGATTCCAGTCTCTCCATACATTGGGAAGTCCAAGTACACTAGAAAAGTTTTGATTCCTACCAAAAGTTGTAATTTAGTGGTATCTTATTTACCTTTCAAAGTAAAACACAAGGGTTTGAATTCTCACGGAAACAAACACAAGTGCTTGAATCCACGATGAAAAATAAAAATTTTGATTCTCCCAGCATAGTGCATTCGAAGTCAGAAATAATTGAACCAAATCAGTCAATTAGTATTGATCACACATGCATGATGTCCCCTCTTTGACTGCTCCCAACCATTTCACCACGAAAAATTTGAGATTTTGTGGTATCATTTGCATGAAGCACCAACCAGAAATCCAAAAAATGATATCATATGTATGCACTCTTAGCTTACGTCAGAAATTTATCCCCCAAGATTTCACGCAATGAACACGCAATGATAGGAAAGGAAAAATAAGATGAAACCAACAACATAACAAAGAATAAGGTTCACGTAGTTTGACAAATTGCCTAAGTTCACACACACAGCACTAATTTTTGTTTCAAACTAAGAGAATATTACAAATCTCAATTATACAGAGAGGCAATCCACACTCACTCCAAAAAAAAAATCATCTAAATAAATATACACCACTCTGCTCCTTACTAAAGGGTAGAGTGGCCCAACAGTACCAAGACCCAGCTTTCCAAAGGGAGGTCCTGGATTCAAGCCTCCTCAGTGGAAACATTTGT